TCATTGCATTACTGAAAAGCCGTGTTTTTCCTGATCGTTTTCATGGCTAACATCGATATAGTCCGTCCATTTTATTTGAGTGTGTTTGTGACCTGACTCTGACCAGTGATGTCATAAGGTGCACTATAGAAAGTCTGTGATTCATTGACTAAACCAGTCGGACGAGGTCTCGTTGAAACCTCGTTACATATGCATTGGTTCAGATGTATGTGGGATTGTTAAAAATATATCGAATCACAAGTACATAACAAAAAACATAAAAAATACAAAATAATTAAAAAAAATAGTAAAAATAAAATAAATATATAAAATAAAATACACGCCGTACAATACATCAGATTTTAATCAGATTGCATTGAGGGCAGTGTTCTCAGGCCTTTTAATTTTAAGCACTGCAGTTTTTTGCATGCTTTGCCATAGAAATGCCATGCTTAAACTTTTAAGAAGGGGGGATATTGATGTGTTAAATATTTCTTTTGTAATAAAATACATTGAAACCAGATAGTATTGATATGAAGATTAGCCTTTAGTATTTTCTGTTACAATAAAGGTTATAAATACTTTCTTTGATACGTCTGCAAATGCATGGAATAACGTTATGCGAATCAAACCCTACACTGTCTTCACACTCATGTACAAATGCATGGAATAACGTTATGCGAATCAAACCCTACACTGTCTTCACACTCATGTACAAATGCATGGAATAACGTTATGCGAATCAAACCCTACGCTGTCTTCACACTCATGTACAAATGCATGGAATAACGTTATGCGAATCAAACCCTACACTGTCTTCACACTCATGTACAAATGCATGGAATAACGTTATGCGAATCAAACCCTACACTGTCTTCACACTCATGTACAAATGTAAATTTTCCTAATTCATCTTCAGACTTTCAGTAAATTTTGAGAAACAAATATTAATTTACTATATTCACTAATAAGAGCTTAAAGTGTCCGTGAAGTACTTGCTACCCTGATGTCCAAAATCACTTATTGGTACAAATGTATGCGATTATTATCATAATTTATATATCTCTGCACAAAATGAATATTTAAAAAAAAGTCATTTATGGAAGTTCAGATCCATTTCTTGTATGATAATTTCTCCACCTGTTATCATAGCTTGCAATGATATATTTTTATTTTTCTCTATGTTTGATACATATAATTTAATCAACATGGAAATCATCTATGGCAAGCGAAATAGAAGAAGAAAAAAGTGTGTCATACAATAAAATGTCTGATTTATGTTACACAGTATGAATTGTCTGATTACAATAACTCAGTAATCACGGTACTTCCATGCTGGTACTCACATGCATTTGACTTTGCAACGATTCCGCTAAATTAATTTACCCACGACATAAATGCAACTAAAGATGTGTGGCAGTAATACTAATAACAATTATTGAATTTGCTTTGAAGCTTTGATCGTAACCTGTTAAAATGACAACATGTATAAGATTGATAGATTTTCTGCGAGCACAGCTGTTATTGCTACCATATTTGGAAGCATTGAATGACATGATATGTGAATGCTTGTTAGTCCCCGTTTTGACCCTTGTGCGTCTGTGTTTCCGTCCGTGTGTGTGTGCGTGCGTGTGTTCGGCCCTGTATCTTAGAAATGCCTGGACCAATCACAATCAAACTTCACACATACATCATACATGATATTATACATATGACATCAATTTGTTTCACGATCAGATTCAAAATGGCTGACTGGCGGCCATTTTGTTTTAATAATTGGGCTTCCAGATGATTA